AGTTCAACTTGCACAGATATCTGCAAAGATGGCATCAGTAGTAAATCTTGTGCCAAGATACTTCCTGTGGATGTCTTTCACAAAAATAATCAGAACAAAGTAATTCGCATGTATGCAATTATTGACGACCAAAGCAACCGGTCCCTCGCCGCTCCTGAATTCTTCAGCCTATTCAACGTACAGGAAGAAACAAAAGACTATATGTTATCCACATGCTCCGGCAGCAAGGTTACTTCCGGTAAACGAGGAAACGGCTTTGTCGTAAAGTCTGTACAAGACAATACTAGATTCAATCTGCCTGAACTGATTGAATGCGATAACATGCCCAATAATCGGAACGAAATTGCTACACCTGAGGATATATTGCAATATCAACACTTGCAAGAACTACAAAAAAATATTCTCCCGATTGATGGAAAATGCAAAATCCTATTGCTCATTGAAAGAGACCTAATAGAGGCACATCACGTCCTTGATCAACGTCTAGGACCACCAAATGCTCCATTTGCGCAAAAGTTAAACTTGGGTTGGATTATCGTTGGTGAAATACGCTCCGATAAGCAACATGTTCACCTTGAACTCACTACAAAGGAAACGAATCCAACTTGCAGTGTTGTGAAACCACATACAAAGAAATTACCTGAGTGTAATAAAACCAACACCCAGTCAAATGGAATTCAAACTGATTCGTTTAAACATTATCCCCGTTTACATGGGCAGCCGAAAACGAAATCAGCGACTTCGATCGTCAGATTTGCAGAAGCCAAAAAGTTCATTTCGGAAGCAACACCACCAAAAGTGAATGCCGACAAAGAAAAGTACATCCGAAAACATTTAATTCCCAAGGAAAGCTTCAATCCGCCTTTGGATACGCAAGGACAAGAGGAAAGTAGAATAGACAATTCCGACTTAAGTCACAGAGAAAAGGAACATGGCACCGGATGGTCTACTGTATGCCATAAACGTAAAGGAAAGCGTCCGTTTCGCAAGACGTCCCCGTTGGATCGCATATCTGTGTCGAAAGGAGTTTCATCCATCAGAACTACAACCATGGAATTGGATCTTAGATCGCCGCGATCTCGTCGGAAACACCACCTTATCTAGGAAAGAAGCTGTGAAATACCCAGCCTCCCGTTGGAACATTCAGCGGACACTTTGTCCAAAGGAACAATTCGTGACCAACCACAGCGTGAGTTAAAACATTACAAATTATGTCTTTACATCAGCGATGAACTGTTTTAATATGTTTTCCTATGTTAAAAAGAAACTATGAACATTTAACCGTTCAAACTGTTCGTATCTGCGATTACACAATTTAATTCAGACAGAACCCGACGTGCAATGACGTGTGCAAGAATAATCATCTATTTATTATTATAAAGAACATTAACAGCTTTATATATCTACGAACTGTTTATCCATATTTTAATGGACTTTAATTATCATTGAACACATTGTAAAATTGTATTTATATTTGTATTTTCAGTTTTTCACCATTTGGATTGGTAGTGAAATAAAAGTCAGCTTCTGATTGTTTTATCTTTACATAAACCCAGTCATCTTGGATCTAATTTACACCAAGATATGATTGTCAATGCAGAATGATAGTTTTTAATAATTTAGGAGGGGATCTTTCAGCGATTTGACTATATGTTATTGAAAAGCATGATAAATGCAGCGTATCCAATTTCATTTAACGACATCTAGGTGTAAATCAATAAAACTATTTCTCTAATTCTATGACAATTTATCCCTTTCTGCACCTATGTATAAAAATAAATAATCAACGTGTGGTTGCCGGTGATCTCAGAAGATGATTGGATGAGTTTAAGGGTCATAACCTTTATCAGCTCACTGGATGAATCAAAAAATTCTAACAGGTGTTAATGAAATTGACAACTTTGTGGAATGCAGAAGGCACTCGAAGGGGATTTTCGTTTAACAAAAAATGAAAATTTATTTTTTAATCATTAGAGAAACAGATTCTTACATGGTTACTCGTAGATTATCGGATTTATCCAATCTCGATAGTTAAATTATAAATTTTAAAGCCCTCGCCGAGGCTCGGACTTTAAAATTGATAATTTAACTATCTCGATTGGATAAATCCGATAATCCACTGGTATCAATGTAAGAATCTACATATACATTATATATCAGATATTGGTTTATAAGGTTATGTTGGTGTAATTAGTTTAATATCATGGTTATATCAGAGTTTACATAATAAAAGGCTTTCTGGAAGAAATATTCAATTGTGACCTTCAGAATAACAAACACAAAGTGAGCACACAACTTCAGCCATTCCTTTTTTTTCTGGTAACAATGAAAATCCACTGAAAATAAGTAACTATGGATATTAAAAAGAAACAAAGAAAGAACAGAGGCGACATAAAAGAGACTGAAGACAAAAAACATTCCGCTTAAAACTAGATAGAAGAAAATAGATTGAGTTACTCAAACCAAACAAAAAATTGTGGTACTCCTGAAGTGTACAGAGGTCCTCCTCCACTGGTAATAATCGTCGTTGTGCCGACAAATAAAAATCCGGTGTAAATGTCATATTCAATAATTTCATATTCCTACCACGAATGGAACACATTCGTGTTGTCATCTGTGACACAGATATTTCATGACGGTCAATCAATTAACAATGGCGTTCGTAAAACTTTTGAAGAGATAACATCAACATTTCCACTTATAATACTTTGTTTAATAGTTTCCTTGTAAGCACAAAAAATGAAGTCTGGATAGGATGCGTAAGACCTGCAATATCGTACCAAGTGGGAGATATATACTCCATATGCATATAACGAAATACATTTACTAGTACATGTAATGAGCAAAGGCGTAAACAACGGGCATGTGTTTTAACAATATGCCAAGCTTAAAGTTGTTCCTTGTTTTGAATAGACATTTAGACAAGAAAGAAGTCTGTCATCATCACTCTCTTTATTTTAGATAGATTCTGAACTTATTATACCTAGATGTATATCAAGGAACAAACAACTTGAATCAGTACAGAAAAAGCATTTGCTTTGGAAAAAAAATCTAATATAACCACAAGTACAAAACAAAATTAGTTAAATATGTGATACAGTATCAAAGAAAGTTAACTGTTACTATGACCAAGCTTAAGGATGTTCTTAGGTCAGGTTTAGGAATTTTTGTCAGATGTTCGGACTCCTTGTTTTTTACAACATAAAATATTTTGCCCCATACATGTAACACCCATTTTTATTTTCATATTAGACTTTAATGAAAACTCATATTTTTCATATAGCTCATGAAAGGTCATTTACAAAAATTAAGCAGATTCTAGATTTATTTTCTCTTGATTTGAGACCCAAATAAAACCAATGCAAATATGAGGTAAAAGTACAAGTCAGACTTTTCCCGCTATTTTTTGAAAATTAAAAATCTCGAAAAAGAGCTCCATAACCTATCAATATTTTTAGCTTATTTTGTTCCTTAACTAATGCTCTTCTGACTTATAGTATTAATTCTAAATTTTAGATTTTTTTAATTTCATTCACTCCTCGGTTGTTAGCTATCACTATTATAGAAAAGCACGATCTTATGCAATCATACATAGCTTTATGTTTAGAACGATGAGTCGGGCCTATGTTTAGTAGAAATTGTTGTAATATTACAGGAGTGGGTATTTTATTGGTTGTACTCAAACATCCTGTTATACCTTTTCTTTTTCATTTTCTCACATATTATGTTAAAGTAAGTTTTTACTAACGCAATATTGCGTATGTGCGTTATAAGTGCTTATTTTGTTCATTGTTTTAGATGAATTAAAACACAATATGGAAACGACATTAATTTTGTAGAAAGTATCTAAATGGGTAGGCTGTATGCTTCTATATCTTTTAGGTTTGGAGTTTGAACTCGTAAGGTAACTGCCCATCTTGTAATTTACATTCACTTTGCATATTTATAGAATGAGGCAATACTAAAATGTTTCTTTAGTATTTCTGTAAAGTGTGATCTGGTCATTGCACAAGGTTGTGTCCTACAACATTGTTTATGACGTTGCTGTATGAAATCCTCTATCAATTACCGCAACCGATATCAGAATGTAAGACAGTACGATTTCTTATCAAGTTATTAATAAGTACTTTTAACTTGCTTTCAGTAATATAACAGTAATAAAACTGCGAGTAATCGTACATGCGTTATGATATAATTTTCATTTTGTGTGTTTTATTTTTATTTGTGTTATTGTTTGGGTCTTTAAAGGGGGTCTTTGTGTTTTACTGTTTAAGGGGGGGTCTATTGTGTCGTTATATTTAGGGGTCAGTGTTTCACCTGAATAGATTTTTATAATGCATTTGTGCTCTTATGTTTGCTTTACTAGTCTACTGACCACGATAAAAAGATTTTGGGGAAGCGATCTAAACAAAACTACTTTAACATCACCAGATAAGCATGTGCATGTCCTAAGACAGGATCCTCGTTAGTGGTTGACTTATTTCATATCTTAATTTGAGTTTAATTTATTTACAATTTTTAGAGACTTGGAGTGGTAGAGCTTGACATATTGCACAGACACATGTCTATTGTTGAAGACCGTATGCTGCCCTGTGTGCTGTCATTGGATTATCTTTGATGTTGGCTTGTTGTCTCTTTAACATATTTCCACATAAAATGTTCTTGCACAACATTTACACTTATTTCATAAATACAATTGAACTTTCACACACTTTTACGTAAGTACGTCAAACCTTGGAACTGCCATTATACTGCCTGTTGATTATTTTTCGCTTTTGTTATATGTGCGGTTTTAAATTTGTCTGATCAACGTCCGTTTTTGGCTCTTCTTCCTAATTGTTTTGGTCGTTTAACAGGCTGATCAGTGGCGCTCGATCAACACTTATGTAGACGAAACGTGTGTCCTGTGTATTTAAGTATTAGTTTGGTTTATTTAATGCGTTTTTCATGAGGTCGCATATGAAACCATGACATATATTTATTAATTATCACGTGATCACTTACCCAAAACACCCACCAGTAGAAGAAAAACCAGGAATTTCGACATTTAGATTATTCTGTCAAGAAGGAAAATAATTCAAGAGTCAACTTGAATGTTAATTCATATTTGATAACTTGTATACATTACATATTTTTTATACAGTGAAATGATTTTGAAAAAGAGGTATCATGTTTCCAATTTATTCTGCATAAAAAATAACTTTCAATATGCAATTGAAATGGTATGCACTTTGAACAAAAACTCTGTTATATTTTGTTTGATTGTCCCTTTTCAACAAAAAATTAATTTAAATGTAAATTTTATACTTTACAATAAATATTGTTCTTTTTTCAGAATTATAACTTAATACTCTAACTTACACGTTCACTTGTCTATAAATTCTACAACATATGATACATGTAGGTATACAGCTGTCAAATATTGATTTATACTTTTCCGAAATAAAAGTTGCATTGTTTTTCTTGGAATGAAACAAAAACCTGTAATGAATCAATACCTTTCAAATTAATCTAGTAAACACAGAAAATTTTATATACGAAAGTACTTCAAAATTTATTTAAAAAATGGATCGAATATTCAAATTTCCAGATTGCACAGAATGTTTCTTAAGCAATTGAAAATGGTTTTTAACTGAACATTTAAATATATAGAAATAGCAAAAAGTAAAAATATAAAACAATATTTAAACAACTCTATAATAGTACAATGTTGATGCACAACCTTAAAAGGTTTGCAAATATTCGGCGAAGTTCCAAAAGAAGGCGCACAATCTCAAAAGATTAAGTTGACGAAATTACTAATTTTTCAAATCTTGAAAAATTGGAAACATTCATCACAATGTTTCAAAACACCAGTTTCAGAACTGCAATATATTTGCAATCGTTCTGTGATGTTTCTGTGATCTGAATTGAAAACTGTACAATGCGTTGATAACACAAAATTAGTTCCGTCTTTTGTAAATTTAAGATATTTCCAAAGTTCGAAAAAATGAAAAACATTCCTCAAACAATTCCATGATACCTGCTTCAACATGTGTGCAATTTTTCGGGGAAGAAAACTGTCAGAGGAGTTATGTTATAGAGAGAGTCCAAATAACTGTCCATTCCTGGGAAATAATGGGCGTCGGCCCATACTGTCCATTCCTCGGAAATAATGGAGCGGAGTCCCGTAGGGCAGACGCCCATTATTTCCCAGGAATGGACAGTTATTTGGACTTTCGCTAACTTAAAATACACCTTAAATATTAAAAACGAATCTTCAGATTTTATCATTTTAAAGAATTTTATTTAATGTTGTAATGGTTTTCTTTTCATTTTCCCCGTGTTGTACCCAAGAATCCGCAGGTAAGATTTAAGATCAAGCTGACCATCTACTCACTTAACGAAGTATTCATGAACATTAGAATAATTACTATAAAATATCATGAATAAAGTTCATTTAGATTTATGTTTAAAGTCATTGGATACGCATGTCTTTCTTGTACTGGGATTGAAAGGATATTTATTTGTGTCTTTAAGTGGTATTTCGGGAGAGTAAACAAAACTAGTATCTATGCATATATGTTAATGGATTATATGTGTTTTTCGTTTGATAAATATTGGATGTAAAATCGTCTGAGAAAAGTGAAATGGTACAACTAGAATGCATTTCCAGGTAGGTTATTTAACTAAAAAAGGTGTGCTCGATTTAAACTCATATCGAAAACAAAATGTGATTCTATTCGATGAAATAAAATGAAACAAGAAATCAGTATTTCATGCACAACACAACATTTTGTCGTTCCCTTTGCTAATTACAACGAACAAAACTTGTATGCAGTTTTTTTTTAAATAGCAATACAAGCAAACTGAAAGTATGTTTCATTCTTCCCTATTATCAGAAAGGAAGCAAAAACGTTTTAGAAACAAAAATCCGCATGATTAAAAGCATTTTTGGATTCCGTTTTGTATGTTTTTAACTTAAGTGGACAACAGTCTACCTTTTAATTTCATTTAAACATTTATTTCAAGATTAACGCCGATTATTTGCACTGTCGATATAACTGTTATATTTGACACTGGACATATAACAACAGTGAATGAATTCGATTATGTTACGCGTTTCTGTTGAAAATTGATTAAAAACCTCGCCCAATATTAAACACAAGCCTTATTCAATTGTTATCCATACCCCCACAAATTTTATTCATAAGTACTATATTTAAGTTATAACAACGAACAATGAAATAAAGTACCGAATACGCCATTTTGACCGTTTCTTGCACTTTTTATTCTATTAAACCACAATATTATTGTAGAAACAATCCAAGTAATTTTTGTGTGTTTAATTTATATATATATATATAAATGCAACAAACGATTTTTGCTGTGCAAAATCAAAATATTTCAAGGAAATGATATCTTAAACGGTAAAATTAAAATCAAATATTTATGTGAAATATATAATATACAGCTATATTTGTAATGCACCCACGACTAAATTATAGATCAATCGAAAGCCTATCATCTGTACTTTCTGTTTAACCGGTCGAAAAAAAAAAACATCGTACGGTGCAGTTTCTGTCAAATCAAGATCAAAGGTCAAGGACTTACTTCTAATCAAACAGCAAATCATAACAACTCATACAATTGCCGAAACACCACCACACATGAGTAGTATGATTTGGGGTCAGTCCGCTACCAAACGCCACCAGACCACCACCGGAAGTCACGTGACAGCTAATCCTCTTAACTATGACGTAATGTCCGGTCTATAATCTCTTAATCCTCTTAACTGCTACTTAACATCCGGGTTATAATCCTCTTAACTGAAGTGGATTATTATCTCAATCCTCTTAACTTCTACTTAACATCCTGGTTATAATCCTCTTAACTGAAGTAGATTAATCTCTTAATCCTCTTAACTGGTACTTAACATCCTGGTTATAATCCTCTTAACTGAGGTGAATTAATCTCGTAATCCTCTTAACTGCTACTTAACATCCTGGTTAAAATCCGGTGGTGGACAATTAACGGAAGTAGTTTTAATCCCCTACCCTCCTACGTATGATCTTGTAAACGTGGCATACACGTTGACCTATCCACGTTTACATCCTGAAGTATAATCTTGTAAACGTTGCATACACGTTGACCTATCCGCGTTTTCACCCCTTAGTATATAATGCAATGTGAACTAGTATCAACCATTCATTCAAGATGGAAAATTTTAACCAACATATGATTAACCAACTGGTAAACGTTATTCCACAAGATGTGTTACAGAAGTTACAACAGCTGTCAGCGCAGGACTTTAATGCAGTCTTACATTCAGTTAAACAACAACATCCAACTGAAATACAACCTGATCAAACTCCTATGGGAAAAGATGACAATGTAACAGATAAAGATAATGTATCAAATTTTGAGTGCCGAACATGCGGCAAGAAGTATACAAGAAAATATATTTTAATTCGACACCAACAGAACCATTCGAATATAAATTATGAATGTGAACATTGTGGTTTTACAACGAAAAGAAAAGATGTTTTATCTAAACATATGCAGAGAAAGCATGATGTAAAGAAAAGAGCACAGAAGGAAGACGATGTACAACCCCCACGTAAAAGTCAGAGAACAGCAGATGTTGACCAACCTTCCGAGGAACAACTACGAGAGGAAACATACATAACAACAACAGCTCTGAACGATGGTGTGGAAAAAATTCGATTACAACCCACCAACAATGAAGAAAGTTATGACTTGATGCTATTTTTCAAAGAAAAACAAGTGCATATTGTGCAGATATTAGAGGACAGGCTAGTAAAAAACAATATAAAGTTTTATTTGAGTGTACATGTTAAAATGATTAAATATTCACCAGATGGAAAATACGACGAAACTGATCCTTATTTCCATAGTGAAGTGAGTACCATTTTACAATCTGGTGCTAGTGAAATACCTCACGAGTTGAATAAAGGATTTCAAAAAGTATTCATTTCTTTCGAAGAATTCATCAAGAATGGGAGTGGATGGCAACTTGAAGAGGTATGCATAACTTTCAACAAAATCAAGAAAATGTAGAGAATTATGTTCCTTTGTTAACTCGGTTAACATGACTGGTATGGAGAATCCAACTCCGTTATCTCAAATTTCGCAATTCGAAAAACAGAATAACAATATATCAGTTAACATTTTTGGATATGAAGAAGGAGAAATTTTTCCGTTATACATCACAAAGAAAACCTACTGTCATCATGTGAATATGTTATATTTAAAAGAGAATAACAAAAGTCATTATGTGCTGATAAACAACTTTAACAGGTTTTTATCGAGAACAAAGAAACATCGTGCAGAACATTTTTTTCTGTTATCTTTGTTTGCAAGGATGTCCTGAAAAATGCAAACTAGAGATGCATAAAGCAGACTGTCGAAAATTTGATTTTCAAAAAATTACACTTCCCAAGGAGGGTGAAGTTCTTGAATTTAAAGAATATGCAAAAACCGCCCAAATTCCGTTTGTTATCTATGCTGACTTTGAGTGTTTAACAAGGAAAGTCTATACTTGTCATCCGAATCCGAACATTTCTAGTACAACTACATACCAACAAATGGAGGCTTATAGTTTCGGATATCAAAGAGTGTCCGTTGATAAGCGATATGACAAACCCCTCGTTATATACCGTGGACCTGATGTTGTAGAGAACTTTATCCGTTATCTTCTTGAAGAGGAGAAAGAAATTAAAGACATACTAAGCCGCATCGAGCCAATGAAAGTAACTGAGTATGACAAATTAGACTATAAATATGCCACAAAATGTTATGTTTGTAAAAAAGCCTTCAGCAGCAAAAATTACAAAGTCAAAGACCGTGACCAAGTTTCGGGGTCGATTCATGGGACTTCGTGTAATAACTGTAATTTACAAATCAAAATACCGAAATTCATACCTGTTGTTATTCATAATTTGAAAGGATTCGATGCAAATCTCATCATGAGTAAAATAGAAAAGTTTAAGGAACAAGACATCACTGTAATTCCACACAACAAAGAAAAATATATGTCATTTTCTATAGGAAATCTCCGTTTTATCGATTCTTTACAATTTTTAAACAGTTCACTGGCAACTTTAACACATAATCTAGCTGACGAAGGAAAAAAACAAATTTCAAATACTTATCTAAAAGTTTTCCGGATCCAGATGTCTTTTCTCTATTGTTACGTAAAGGAGTATTCCCCTATAATTATGTCGATACCGAGCAGAAATTGGAAAAACCTTGTTTGCCATCCAAAGAAGATTTTTTTAACAAATTAGGAGACACTCTCATATCTGATGAAGATTATCAATTTGCTCAAACAGTGTGGGATAAACTGAATGTAAAAACATTAGGGGAATATTCCAATGTGTATCTTAAAATGGATGTAGCTCTATTGGCAGATGTTTTTGAAA